ATATTATTCGGATATAATGTGGATAATAGGATAATCTGAATTTATTCTAGGATATTATCCGTTCAAGAAAAGCTCTACAAGAAATATTCTATTTTTATGAGGTTCATGTCACACTTGATTATAACAGTTTTTTGAAATTGTAAAAAGGTAGATTTATCACTTCACATAGCCTTTAACCAATTGTCCTTTGTCTAACTTTAGTATTTTAAATACTATACAAGATGTGTCTTAATATTTATTAGTATGATTAAAAGCTTTCATCAAATAATGCAATTGTTTAATCTAGTTGTATAAAGTATCTGACTAATAGTGTGAATTAAAACATTTTGGTCAGTCTCGCCAGAGTTATTATAGCATAAGTAATAATTTTTTTCTTTATCATTAGTGACTATTCACTTAAATTAATTTAATTTCAAATCTTTAATTTAAGGTGATCGACCAGAATAAGGCTTTAAATTAATATTTCTAGTGTCATCCATTCTTTTTAACATATCAAGAACTGTAAACTTTTTACAACTGATAGTTGTAGCAATAGTTTGATAACTATCACCATGTTAATAGTAAAAAATTATACTATTACATTATTCTATTATTAATTCTTTAAACATTTTTATTATTTTAAAAAGATAAAATTTTATTTTGATCAAAAATTAAAATAAATAAACCAAATACATATTTATTTAGTTTGATTTAAGTAAACAATATCTGTAATATTATATAGCTGCAGTTTTATATAGTCATATAATATAATCAGTATGAAAAAGCCTCTAAAAGATGGTATTTAGAGACTTTTAGTGATGTTTGTATTAATTAGTAATTTACATTTTAAATTATAAATTTTCTTTTAAAAAGTACATATATCTTTTTATTTAATAAACAATTAATACTTTTATCTTTACCTATATATAATCATATTTCCCTTTATAAGCACACTTATATTAGTCTAATTTACTAAAAAATCTTATTAAAAAATATCTATTTAGTAACATTAAATGGTATTTTTATAATTATATCATTTTTTTAGTTTTAGAAGTTCTGACTATATAAGAATTGATTGTATATTAATATAAAAATAATTAATTAAAAATTTTTTTAAATTAAATTATTAAGTATATAATTAAATATTAATTTAATAGTATGATTTATTGTAGGGTTACTCGATTATTATCAGTTGAGTTAAATAAAGTTTATAAGTTGGTTATAGAAGTATCATATCAATTGAGTTCTATTAAGGAGTTAGACAAAGTTGGTAAGCTTGCAATCTGAGTACTTGGACAATTATGAATTATTATGAAGTCTATAATTTCCAAGTCTTTTAGAGTATTTGCCATTTTTTGCGATAAAATTTTAGTTAAGCAGTAGGAATTTCAATTTTTTTTTTTAATTTATTCAGCTCTCAGTTAAAATATCACCACCATCAATATGACAAATTGGAAGTTGCTAATAAACAAATTGAATGAAATTTGTTTATTTATTAAACATAATTTTTTGTTCATCTATATATGGGCATGTTATAATATTGCATGTGTGATAAATAAGAGACGCTCAAATCATTGTGTAAACTTTAATCGCTATAAAATTCTCAGAAAACGTACTATATAATCCTTTAATAATTTAATTTGTCTAATCACGACTTATTAACAATCCTTTGGTTGAATGCCATTGAGCGTAACAATAACATAATAATCTGAAAATGCAAATAACGATTAAAGAATTATTTTGATAAACTAACAAAAAAGTGGAAAATTAAATTTTCATTTTTGCTTTTTTTTATATTGATATTTATATATTAAATTGTAAATCGAATTTTTTGATAATACTAGTACATTAAGATATTCAATTATAAAATTTAATAATATTATTTTTCTTCAGATTCTAAAAGTTACGATTATAGTTTGTGTCAATATTATTATGTATTGTGTTAATATAATTTAAGATCTCAAACTCTCAAAAGAAAAAAATAAAGTGAAAATCCTTATGTCACACTCTAGTAGTGATTCGAAAGAGGAACTTAAAGAATATATGCACTGTGCTTTAAACTCAACGTCATATTATTTTTTAAGAAAATTCAATATAAATTTTATTTCTGTATTATTGATCTTGATAGATTTAAGTTATGGAATTGTTTCAGAAATAAAGTTACAAAATTCTTTTTAATTCAATCAGCAAAAGTTACCTAGCTACTTCAATATGTTAGGCAACATTCTTTAATTTATGTTAACTAGACCAGTATTGGCAACTTATTTTTAATGACCAAATGACTTTGATAAGATCATTAAGGCATTCTAAAAGTTAAATAACTCTGAAATAAGTCATTAAAAAATTTTATAATAAATTATTAATAAATCAAGAAATTTATTTTATTAAAACAAAATTGACTTTTTATTAATTTTATAAATTCAATAATTCAAATAATTCAAATCATTTGGTTCTTCATTTCTTTATTAATATCACCATTATCTTAATTATCTAATATTTAATATAAATCAGACTAATATTTCTTATTAATATGAAATATTGCATTTGCTTAAAGTAATTCAAAATAAGTTAGTTCTAATCAAATTTAGTTTAAATAAAAATAAAGTTCAAAAAAAAATTCAATTATAATCTTTTATGTATATCACAAATGATCTTGGTACAAACTTAATATTTCTGATAAGCAAAAATGGCCTAAAATGGCCTAGATGATTTCTAATGACCTAGTTCTTTGTATCATGAGTCATTTTAAATGACAAAATTCCAGATAACAAAGTATTACCGATTATTTTAACATGACTTAGGGTTAATTGAATTGGTCAAATGACCAGGTCATTTGCTATTACTGACTGAACTAGATGTCTCATTGTTTCATGACTTTTTCTTGTATATCATACATCTAAGGAAATTGAGTTTCCTAAATAAAAATTCTATTTGCTATTATATTTAAAATTGATGACATGACAGAAAATAGTATATTGTCTTTAATTAAGCCTAAGTTTAATTATTAATTACATTAGATTAACTTTATAAATAGCAAATAAAAAAAATAAAAAAAACAGTTTTTCTAATAATTTTTTCATTCTCACTAATTATTTTCATAAATGGGAGGTATTCTAGGAAAATGGGTTGGGTTCTGATGATTTTTTTTTAATAAAGATTTTAATTAGATAAAATTTATTGTATAACATATAAAGAATTAGCGTTTGAAAATATAATTAATAATCAATGTGATAAAAGTTTATAAAAACCAGTGAAAATAATAAGATCTTTGTTAGTTATTACATATCCTTGATAGCGTATTATTTTCTAAATCATATGAATGTGAACAATAAAGTTTTTATTTATTACATTTATTATGTAAGGTTGTAAAAAAAAAGTTTCAAGGATTTACATAAAAAACGATAAGATCTAATTTCCATATTTCAAAAACTTCTTTTTTTATTATTTATTTCACCAAACTAAATCAAATCTTAATTACTTAAAGTAATTTATAATATGTACAATATAATTTACATCTTTACTGCTTATTTTACAAATAGTGACCAAAAATATTTGAAAGGTAAACAATATTATTGATTTGGCTATTTAAAAACTAAAGCTAGGATGAGACAAAAAATCAAAGGATCTAACCAAGTCTATATAATAATAGACAAGATGACAATTTCATTAAATGAGAGATGCCATTCATTTTTTTTTTTTTTTGTTTTCTTGAAGAAAACCACTCTTTGAGCCAAACGTACCCACATAGGAATGATAATTCGACTAGTTCACAGCGCAAGGATCACATAGGAACAAACTTTGATGTTCAACGACTGTTAAATTCAGGAAGTTATACATTTTCAAGAATTATGTATGGGATCGGGTATACTGCGTTGTAAATATTGAAATTACTGTGACCTTTGTAAATCAAATTATTACCGTTAAGGATAAATAGATTGTGAAACTTTATTGCCAAGCAATAAATGCATAGTCGTCTAATTAATAAAATTTAAACAATATCTAGCTGATAATAAAAACTCGATAATTCACAACTTCATATACAGGTGTAATTACAACAGTTGTTTAGCATCGTAATAACTACTTTATTAACTTATTTTGTACATGTATAATACGTTGTACTGAAAAAAAAGGAAAACCAGAACATAATAAAAATTTAGATGTTAAGGATTACAAAAATATCGCTAGCTCTGGCAAAATTTATAGAGATAATTTATGCCCAGTTAGGGTTTATAGGCAATGAATTGGGTTTAGTGACATGAAATTTACAATCTGAAAATTTCTCCATGTATTTGACAGAATGATTCACAAGAAGTTATAGAACGATTCTCTGAATGAGTCTCCAAATTTAATAATTAAGTATTCCATTTGAAATTAGGATACTCGAATATTCAAATATTCCTTTGTCAAAAAAAAATAAAAATTCGAATCCCAAGTTATTGAAATTAGAATATTAATAATCATTGAACTTAATCAGAATTTCAAACGGAAAGTCAAAATTTTATTATGACAACTAATCAACTTTGATTTTTGATATGATTAATTTAGGAAAAATTTAAAAACATATTTGCTTTATTCAATATACTTTGAGAGTCATCTTGTGTGCTATCATTTTTGGATCGAAGTCAATTATTATTCACCCTCTCTACCAATTGGTTAATTTTAAAGTCATGTAATCGTTTTGAATTGCGGCCTCAAGTTTCTTCTTGTCTACTAAATGAAGATTACTAGCAAGTTTTCTAGTTCTATTGATTTGTCTTAGATAAAGTGTTTCGTAAATTATGGTCGGTTGGTTGTTACGAATAATTTCTTGTAACTCCAATTTAATAGTCAACTGTATTCAATACATTACTATCATAATAATAGATCAATATCAATGGTGACGTTAACCTTAATAATTCTGGTTGCATACAATCAATTAAATTTTACAAGAAAATTGTTATCTTTAGTACAAGCATCTTCGCATATATAGTTTGATTGTCAGAAATAAAAACAAACATCAACGAAATATATTGTATTCAATATTATTTTTATAATAATTTTTTAGAGAAATGTAGAATAATTTTAATAGTGAAATTTATGTATATTATAATAGCAAAAAATTTTAATATTACAAATTAATAACGATAAATTAATCGTAAGATTTAAATAATAAAATTTTATATTGACTTATTCATCAATTCGACTCATAGACCCAAATATTGACTTTTTTATTTTTAAAATTTTAAAATATTAAGAATATTTAATAAAAAATTTATTGAAAATGTTCGATTTTAATTATTTTCATGTAACAACAATAATGTTTATTAATTTACTTAAATTTCTCGTTACAATTTTTACGAGAAAAATTCTAGAACCTGTACACACATATTAATGAAAAAAGATTAAGCTTTAAACAGGGTATATTGTAATATTCTGAGACAAAAAAAAAATACATATAAAATTAACCTTAAATTGTCTTAAATTAATCTTAGTATATATATCCCAATAAATTAAAATATATCATCGCAACGTAATTTAAATTATGATTACATAGATAGACATAATTATTTAAAACTCTTTTGTAAAAGTTCTAAAATATGGTATACTTCTGAATCAGATGATATATGTTCGTATATTTCATAGATAATACTGAATAATAAAACTTGCAAAGTTTGTAGATAGTGTCAATATTAATAACGCAATTATTCCTAAAACCTTGATATATAGTATCTATTTCCAAGAAAAAAAATTAAGGGAAACAATAAATTTGGATCTTTTTGAATTTCACGCATTCCCATATTATTATTATACTTACAAGAATAACATATTGAGGATTCGAGAATTCTAATTTATTATAAGTTATTTCACTATTGAAGAATTTGTAGGGATATTTATTTATAGATACATTAACCGAAATATTAGCATTAACGGGAGGTTTTTTAATATTCACAATATGTGTAAAATGTTTCATTAAATTATTTTTAATAACATCAAATTCTAAGTAGTTCTACTTAAATTACAAGATTTTGTTTCGGAAGTGGTACTGTTATTGTTCCAGTCTTATTTTATTAATTTTAATATTCAAAATGTCTTTTTTTCATTTATTTTATCTTCATGACATTAACAGTACCAGCAGTGCTTAATATTTTGTTTGTAATTGGAGTTATGATGCGACAAACTCACCAAACTAATAAAAGGGATTTTAGGGATTGGCTAAAGAAAAATATTATTATGACAACAATAATTACAATATATCGATTTTTATATAATGATTATGAAATTACTCGTAGATATTACTATATTTAACTGAAGTAAATGACGAAATATTCAATATCATTAAAAAAATGCCTCAATATGTTATTCTTGTAAGTATAATAATAATATGAAATGCGTGAAATTCAAAAAGATCCAAATTTATTGTTTCCCTTAATTTTTTTTCTTGGAATTAGATACTATATATCAAGGTTTTAGGAATAATTGCGTTATTAATATTGACACTATTTATAAACTTTGCAAGGTTTATTATTCAGTGTTATCTATGAAATATAAAAACATATATCATCTGATTCAGAAGTATACCATATTAAGAACTTTTATAAAAGAGTTTTAAGTAATTATGTCTATCTATGTAATCATAATTTAAATTATGTTGCGTGAGATGATATATTTTTATTTTATTGGGATATATATACTAAGATTAATTTAAGACAATTTAAGGTTAATTTTACATGTATTTTTTTTGTCTCAGAATATTACAATATATCCTGTTTAGAGCTTATAAATCTTTTTTCATTAATATGTGTGTACAGGTTCTAGAATTTTTCTTGTAAAAATTGTGACGAGAAAATTAAAAAGACCTTTCTAGAACCTGTACACAAAAGCAGAAAGAAATTTTATAGCTTGAGAATTTGCTAGGAAAATGGGTTCTGAGATTAAACATAAATTAATAAACATTATTGTTGTTACGTGAAAATAATTAAAATCGAACTCTTTCAATAAATTTTTTATTAAATATTCTTAATATTTTAAAATTTTAAAAATAAAAAAAGTCAATATTTGGGTCTATGAGTCGAATTGATGAATAAGTCAATATAAAATTTTATTATTTAAAATCTTACGATTAATTTATCATTATTAATTTGTAATATTTAAAATTGTTTGATATTACAATATACATAAATTTCACTATTAAAATTATTCAATATTTCTCTAAAAAATTATTATAAAAATAATATTAAATACAATATATTTCATTAATGTTAGTTTTTATTTCTGACAATCAAACTATATATGCGAAGAAACTTGTACTAAAGATAACAATTTTCTTGTAAAATTTAATTGATTGTATGCAACTAGCATTCTTATGGTTAACGTCACCATTGATATTGATCTATTATTATGATAGTAATGTATTGAATACAGTTCATAATAGTTGACTATTAAATTGGAGTTACAAGAAATTATTCGTAACAACCAACTGACCATAATTTATGAAACTCTTTATCTAAGACAAATCAATAGAACTAGAAAACTTGCTAGTAATCTTCATTTAATAGACAAGAAGAAACTTGAGACCGCAATTCAAAACGCTTACATGACTTTGAAATTAACCAATTGGTAGAAAGGGTGAATAATAATTGACTTCGATCCAAAAATGATAACACACAAGATAACTTTCAAAGTATATTGAATAAAGCAAATATGTTTTAAATTTTTCCTAAATTAATCATATCAAAAATCAAAGTTGATTAGTTGTCATAATAAAATTTTGACTTTCCGTTTGAAATTCTGATTAAGTTCAATGATTATTAATATTCTAATTTCAATAACTTGGGATTCGAATTTTTATTTTTTTTTGACAAAGGAATATTTGAATATTCGAGTATCCTAATTTCAAATGGAATACTTAATTATTAAATTTGGAGACTCATTCAGAGAATCGTTCTATAACTTCTTGTGAATCATTCTGTCAAATACATGGAGAAATTTTCAGATTGTAAATTTCATGTCACTAAACCCAATTCATTGCCTATAAACCCTAACTGGGCATAAATTATCTCTATAAATTTTGCCAGAGCTAGCGATATTTTTGTAATCCTTAACATCTAAATTTTTATTATGTTCTGGTTTTCCTTTTTTTCAGTACAACATATTATACATGTACAAAATAAGTTAATAAAGTAGTTATTACAATGCTAAACGACTGTTGTAATTATACCTGTATATGAAGTTGTGAATTATCGAGTCTAATCCTTTTATTATTAGCTAGATATTTTTTAAATTTTATTAATTAGATGACTATGCATTTATTGCTTGGCAATAAAGTTTCACAAATTATTTATCCTTAACGGTAATAATTTGATTTACAAAGGTCACAGTAATTTCAATATTTACAGCACAGTAAACCCGATTTCCTAATTCTTGAAAATATATAACTTCCTGAATTTAACAGTTGTTGAATATCAAAGTTTGATCCTATGTGATCCTTGCGTTGTGAACTAGTCAAATTATCATTCCTATGTGGATACATTTAGCTCAAAGAGTGGTTTTCTTTAAGAAAACAAAAAAAAATGAATGGTATCTCTCATTTAATGAAATTATCATCTTGTCTGTTATTATATAGAATCGATTAGATCCTTCGATTTTTTGTCTCATCCTAGCTTTAGTTTTTAAATAGCCAAATCAATAATATTATTACCTTTCAAATATTTTTGGTCGTTATTTGTAAAATAAGCAGTAAAATGTAAATGATATTGTACACATTATAAATTACTTTAAGTAATTAAGATTTGATTTAGTTTGGTGAAATAAATAATAATAAAAGAAGTTTTTGAAATATGGAAATTAGATCTTATCGTTTTTTATGTAAATTCTTGAAACTTTTTTTTTTACAACCTTACATAATAAATGTAATAAATAGAAACTTTATTGTTCATATTCATATGATTTAAAAAATAATACGCTATCAAGGATATGTAATAACTAACAAATATCTTATTATTTTTACTGGTTTTTATAAACTTTTATCACATCGATCATTAATTATATTTTCAAATGCTAATTCTTCATATTGTTATACAATAAATTTTATCTAATTAAAATCTTTATTGAAAAAAGGTTATTAGAACCCAACCTATTTTTCTAGAATACCTCCTATTTATGAAAAAGAATTAGTGAGAATAGAAAAAATATTAGAAAAACAATTTTTTTATTTTTTTTATTTCTATTTCTTAAGTTGATTCTAATGTAATTAATAATTAAACTTAGGCTTAATTAAAGACAATATACTATTTTCTGTCATGTTATCAATTTTAAATATAATAGCAAATAGAATTTTTATTTAGGAAACTCAATTTCCTTAAATGTATGATACACAAGAAAAAGTCATAAAACAATAAGATGTCTAGTACAGTCAGTGATAGCAAATAACTTAGTCGTTTGACCAATTCAATTAACCCTAAATCATGTTAAAATGACTGATAATACTTTGTTATTTGAAATTTTATTATTTAAATGACTCAAAAAAAAATTTATATTTCAGACTAAATCAGGAGACAGTAAAAAAGAGCATCACCTGATATTTAACATGTGCATGATCTTTTCCAGCATCACTAACAATACCCCATGTATAAATAAAGTAAATATCACGTGATTAAATAGTTACGGAATAGGATAAGAGCCTTTACCCACAGAACAGGATAAATTTACCCTCAACAAAATTTTATGCTCATGTGATTGTAGTAAGTAAAAATCCTACATATATGCCACACTTAATACTAGCAAAAAATCATGTAAGAAAAATTTTATTGGTAATGCTGAAGTAGTTCATTTGCATGATGATTTCTATTTGAATTTTATTTTTATTTATTTTTTTTAAAAGAAAAATAATATAAAGGTGAAAAAAATAAAACTTTTCACAATATAGACTCAAGCTAAGGAAAGTGCCAATCTTTAATGATCATGTTGATCCCTTAAGCAATCTCTTACTTGAAAATAGCGATGAGCTGTTAGCAATAAGAAATACTTCCCTAACTCACCTCTCGAGTAACATATTCATGTCTTAGTCTCTCCACCAGAGATCACCACCATTTCGAGTGAAGTATTGAAAATAAAGGAACAACTTACCTCATTGCAAGCATTACTCAACAAGTCCATTGGTATATATTTTTCCTTACCCAATGTAAATGAAATTTCTGAGACAGCCCTGAAAATGTTTTACTAATCCAGTTGTTGCATTAAAGCATTTGATATTGTCGTTAGTTTTAAATGAATAAAGGGTTTTAAGTAGACCATAAATATTAAACACGCGATCTTTGATGGTCTCAAAGAGTATATACGTAAATGGAGAAACCACCAGTACTTATAAATGATAGAGCGGTGCTAAACATAGTAAATGACCACAGAAAATACTCTCCTCTAAATGATCAAGACCTTCGTGAAATACTCCAGCTATTCGTATTAAAGAATAATCTCAAGTTTACAGTGTTTATAGAAACACCTTTGAAAGCTTTTTCAGGTTGAGCTTTCAATTCAGTTTATCAGCTTTACGGTCTTGGTAGTGAAACAGAGGATCCATCAATGGTGATGTTCCCAATTTTCTTACAATAACGTTAAGCCATCTTAGGAATCATTGGCAGGACTTATGGCAGAATTAAAGTCTCGCATTGACAATACTCCTATCAATTTACTTTCAATCGAAGCCACGAAATCAATATACATCTATTTGTACCTGCTTACTGGAGTATAACAATTTCAAGGGAAAGTTTGAGATCCACCCTTAAAAAAATATTTCTGGTCTGAATGGTTACGGTCTTCTTGATTTTACAATTAACTTACGTCAAACAGCAAAAACAGAGATCAAAAAGATGATTTTGTAAAGGAAATCACACATTGCGTAGTCTAGCTCAAGTTCTTCTTATCGAATCGCAAGTGCAAGGCTGATGAAATAAAAGAGGATCAGATGTCTAGAAGAGTTTTTGGGATAGTTATTGATGCCAAAAATTTTATTTCATGGAATGCACGTTAGATGACCAAGATAGGCCAAGCTTTAAGCTATCAGAGCCAGTGGTCATTGTAAATACAATGATATGAAAATTATGATTGAGAAAGTTCTTGATCATATCATTTGGTTGTTAGCACAAAAGTTAGACTCAGCTATTACCTGAGAAGGTAGTAAAAAAGCATAGATCATTGAGCAGTCTTGAATTAAAATTTAGGAGTAGAAAATTCGTCATATATCACGAGCTACATCCTGAACATTGTATTTATTTTTGCATATATTAATAAAAATTCTTTTTCTTGGCGAAAGAAATCTGCATTTCAAATCAGAATGAACATGTGATTATTTTATTTTAAATGCTTGTATAAAAGTATGTTATAAAAGAAATTGACTTACTTAGGAAAGAAAATGCCAGACTTGTGGCTAAAAATTATGAGTTTGAGGCTGAAATTGTGAAATGAGCCAGATTATTGATGAGAATACTAGACGTGATGTTAGAGTTAAGGAACTAGAGCAAAAAAAAATACAGAACTTGAGGCTAGACTTGTGATATTAGAACAGAGTTTCTTGGCAGTGGGTAAACAACCACAGAATAATAAAGAGTGATTGTAGAGGTACTACCAAAGGTAATGGTATTAAATATTTATTTATCTAATACCGTATTAGACTAGTGAAATAATATTGACACTAAAACATCAGAGGAAATGAGGATGAATGCTTTCTTGGTTGTGGTAAATAATTGGTAACAAAATTAGAGAGAGAAGTCAGGAAAAGAAGGTTCAGTATAAGACTATTACCAAAGACTCATTCTCAGTTACTTCAGACTTGACTCACTGTGAAGAGGATCTTCATGACTAGCGCTGAACCTGTATCCCTCCCAGAATAAGTAATCAAAGAATCGATTTCAGCATGTAAATCAGTTACCTTTAAAAACAAATCACCAGTAAAATCATATATGGTAGACAAACATATTCTTACTTTTGAGAATATAGATACAGAGTGTCAAAAAATTCCTTTTAATCAAAAAGTTGAGCAAGATTTGAGACGAGAATTATTCTCTACTGAAGTTGGTGATAGTAAAATTAATAAGACATTAGTTACATATGGATAGCACTAAATTCTTTATTATTAAAGTAAGGAGAGATCATTGATCAGGTTTTCGTGATGTGACTATATTGACATAATTTTCCTAAAAGCGTATTCCAAAATTGATCCTGCAGATTATATATAATAAGGTGATATCCCTTTTCAAGCAAGTCATCATATTATTAATCAAACGAATAGGTAAACTGTATTTTGTAAAGTAATAACAAGATATGTTGCGACTAGATTCTAGAACAATGTGTGGATATGAGTTAGTTAATTTATTTCAGAAATTAGCATTAGATAACTTTCATTTACAGTATTAGTTAGGATTCGAGACCACTACTTTAATAACAATTTTAATAAAAAATTGTTAATTGAGTATCTTTATTTATAAAAAATATATGGTAAAGTACAAAGATCTAGTCAACATCAGATTCAATCAAATCATCAACTTTTGCATGATCAACATGTACAACATAATTAGAATTCCCACTTTTTCCTTCACTGCCCTAATATCAATGTGCTTATCTAGTAATTCTTTTCTTATGATCTAATCAAGATCTGTTATCATATATTTCAAGGTATCATTTTTGAAGGTGACATCCTTTGTATCTGAAAGTAACCATCTATGATACAACTTATGATTTCCAGAATTGGAGATCTTGTATCCTTTGGTTTATACAAATTTTATATATAATTTACATAAATAACAATAATACTTGAATACTGCTATAAACACCGGTCTTTTATCTTTTTGGTTTTTAATATTCTTCAATATGTTTATTTCTGCATGTAAATATAAATATTGTTTAATTTTTTCATCGTTCAAATGTGGATTGTTGTTATCTATTCCATATATCTCCTTTAATTTGTCAAATATAACATGATCGTATAAGCACCTTTTCTTAAATTTTTCATACTCTTCAGTAATATGAACAGACTTTTTAATAACACTCATCCATGAAAAAATGGGTTGAGAATCTATAACGGGCTTCAACAAAATTAAATTCATATCAGAAAATTGTTTTTTGTACTTTTCATTACAGGCGCATGCTGTGATATTGACCAAAGCTGAATAGTAAGATCTCACCTTTTTGAGATGTCTTAGGAATTATTCTGGAATGTCAGGATTATCTTTGTTTGTTTTATAATATCTGCTACAAATCCCAGACATTTTATATTCACGTACTTTATTACATTCTCAATATTAGAAAATTCCTTGAAAGATAAAATATGTCAATTTTGTGATTCCTCTATATCATTCTTAAGTTTTTTAAGTCTAGATTCAAACTTAGTAGAACAGTATCTCTTTACAGTTTTGAATAAATCCTTAACATCACTTCTCTTAAGTGTGTCATTCAATATTATAGGAGCATTGTTAGATATACTTTTACAATATTTCCTGATTTTGTTGACATATTTATAATTATTTTCACTCTAATTTCCATTTTTAGAAGTATAAATAGCACATTTATTGGTAGAAAGTTTCAATCTTACTGCTACCACTTCTTTTTTACTTACCAATTTTGTTGCCAGAATACTAGTAAATCTTTCATCCACTTCTAGCTTTCTTTATCCTCTTCTCTTTATTCGTTAATGATAAACTTTATGCTTCTGACCACACACACTTTATTGTACAATTCTTGCATTTTTTTTGTTTGCCATTTTGGTAATCTGTATTTATAAGCTTTTTTAAATGAAAAGAATTTTTGTAAATCGAGCGATGAATCAACCTGGCTTTGGGATAGCTAAAGCCAGGTTCAATCACAATATTTTAGCCATAATTATGGCATTAAGGTGATAGTTATAGTGACAAATAATTTGTGACAAAATAAGAAATAACATACTAAAAAAATTTCTGCCTATTTTTGCGATTCACGTGATCAAACTCAACTTTTGCAGCACACTAACAACTTTTTACCCACGTAACCAAAATTTACCGATCTTCCTTAAAAATAAAGATAAAACTTGGCCTGGTGCAAATATCATATATCTTTTAAACTTATATATTATACGTATTTTTATCTGCTCTATAAGTTTACTTAGGCAATAAAAAGTAGGTTTACATATACAGATTTTGACTTTTATATGACTGTTTCTAAATGATTGATGTAACAAAAATCGGTATTCTAAACTCCTTTTTGAATTTTAAGTAAACATGTAAAGCATAAAAGATTAGACATAAATGTTCAGTTTCGAGATTAGATAACGTTTATGGTAAGTTTATTTAACAAAACAAAAAAAAAAATTTTGTTAAATTACCATTTTTAGAAATGATCGGTAAATATTGGTCATAGGGTGAAAATTTGCTGGTGTTACTGGAAAAGATCGCTTTGGCCACCCTGAAAGAGGACAGTATAATTAATGGCCTACATTAGATTTAATCTTTGTTAAATAACAATAATCATAAGATTAAATTGAAAATCTTTTAAAAAGGGTGACTCCACACATGGTAATATACAAGTTTTAAAATAAACAAATAATGACAATTTCTGTGAATCACAATTAGGGAAAAAGTTTTCTTATTAACCTTTTATTGTAATTTTGTTTGTATATCTATAACAAATTTATGTATTATTAATAATTGAATATTTGGAGTTAGGATCTTTTTTCTCCTTATAAAAAGACTCTGCTTTCAATTAACTCTGAATTCAAGAAATTAATAACTACATTCATAAAGAAAACTCCCAATTAATGTAAAAATATATTATCAAAGAAATAATAATCATGAAACAAGGTTTGAATTTTATTCTTGTATTCATTTTATTAGCTACGCTTTCAATGGTCAATGTGATTCCACCTCAACTTCAAAAAAGGTCAATTCCATTTGGTTCATGTCCCCCTCCTAGAGAGAAATATCCATCACCACCCCTAATCTCCATAGAAATTGCTAATGTAACTATCACCCCAGACAAACCAATGTTCTTGTGGTTTCCGGAACTTTACATGCAGATATCACTGAATCAACCCAACTTATTGCTCATTTTGCTGATCCTAAAACTAAAAAATACATAGGCGAAATAAATAGTAGTTTTATTTGTGCCAGAGCAGGGTGTCCAATTAAAGTTGGAACTGAATTTAATAGAGTTATATCAGATTTTTTGGCACCAGACCAACTACCTGATCCATACTCCATTGTAGTTAGTATTGTAGATAACCTTAGTGTAGTTCTAGGATGCGTAACTGCTTTAGTTGACAGCTAATGATGCTATTGTTACATTTAATATAATTCTGCCATAAAGATTACGACTTTCGCTTGTAAATTTTCGATAATTATAGCTAGTATTTGTAGATCATTTTTGAATAGTCTACTGATTATTATTATTTTTTTTTTTATAAAGTATATGTGAGTTGGAAATCCTTAACAACTCAACATACCACGGTCCACCTTCTTACATTGCATACATACATCTTAATCCCTTCCTTTTTTCCTTTGCGATATTATCGCTTTTAACATTGTAAATTCTTTATTTTTAAATCCCTATTTCTATTTTTATTTTATATTTTTGTATTTGTGTAGTCTTAATTAATTAGTATTATTAGTAATTAACATTTATTTAATTTAATATATTGATATTGCGAAGCCGACGTTGAGGCAATACTGTTTATTAAATAAATTTATCATCACAATTACTTAATTTTTTTAGATTAAATATAAACTGTTATAAATCCATAAACGAAAGAACTGAATACAACACTATTCCTCTATAATTTTATTTTTATTTGATTTTTATTTGATTATTTAGAATTTTATATATATCATTTTATTCGAGTTAATAGAATTATCAATAGAATTAATTTACCATATATCGTAAAACTTAATTATTCGGAGCAAGATGCTTTTAATATATTGTCATCTGCGTCGCCGTTGATCACCTTATCAGGACAGCTTGTAAAGGTTCAAAAAAAATAGATAAAAAATAACCAGAAATATATGCTTTCTTTTTTTTGAACAATCGTCAAAATGTTTGACAGTCCTGTGAAAATCTTCCTTATTGATAGGGGAGATAATTAGGGAGATTCATTACCACCTATTGGTTATTTATTTCGTATAATGAACCAAAAAATAGAATTTAAAAAAATTTAAATGCCTTACTAATATAATAATTATACAAACCAAAAGCCTAAGGAAGAACAAATATAATCAAATATAAAGGTTGGAAATATATTTGATCGTTACGATCCAAAATTAAAAGTAAAAAAAAAAAAATTAAAAAATAGATGAACAAATAACTTCTGCGACCAACACACCTAAAAAAAAAAAAATAAATAAAGTTTTACCACACGCGAAAGACTAAAGAAAGAAAGAAAGAAAATCATCTTATACATTGCAGTCTTAATTGTTTCTAAGCTAATAGTAGTTAGAGAGCAATTTTTTAAACCTTTTAACCAGATTTAGATTAGGTGAGTATAATTTCAATATTATTTTTTCGTTATGTAAGATAAAAATTACACAAATTAGTTTGTTTGTTCATCAATAATTGATGGAAAAGAATAAAAGATAAAATTTAAAATGTGAATTTTTTTAAAAAAATATTTACTAAATTAAGACAATAGAATTTATAAAATTCTGGGTAACTGATGCAGATCGTACTGCAAAAACAAATAGATAACTATCTCAATTTAGGTTAGAATACTATTTTCGGAAAAAACCTTTTTCAAAAAAAATTTTATATTTCGGGGACAGTAAAAAAAGAGCATCACCTGATATTTAACATATGCATGATCTTCCCCAGCATCATTAACGATACCCCATGTATAAATAAATTTTTTTTAAAGTAAATATCACGTGATAAAACAGTTACGGAACAGGATAAGAGCCTATACCCCTAGAACAGGATAAATTTACCCCAACAAAATTTTGCGCTCATGTGATCGAAGTAAGTAAAATCTTACCTGTGTGCCACACTTAATTTTGCGATGCCACACTTAATACCAGCAAAAATCACCTGAGAAATTTTGTTGGTGGTGATGCTGGAGTAGTTCATTTGCATGATGATTTCTATTTTTATAATTTAACTTAACGCTCAAAGTTTTTTTTTTAAAAAAAAAAATAAATATATCATAACTAACTTCAGTTTTATTTTGTAGAGTAAAATAAATTGATATAATAAAATTCTTTTTTTATTACTTATACAACCTGTGCCACATTATTATAAATCACAATAGGTATTTTCTTCAAAAAATAAAATATTTATAATCAAGATTACCGTTGGAGTTTAAATATAATATTCGAAAGTAATGTTAAAACATTATATCGAAAATCATTTTTTTGAAAATATGAATATCCATAATTTAAGAATCAATTTTTTGAAGTATAAATTGTGATTTAGAAACACACTATAAAAAAGGCTTAGATTTCAATTTACTCTGAATTCGAGAACTTGATAATTGTATTCACAAAGAAATTTCTCAATTATATACCTTTGCAAAGAAATAATAATCATGATATTCGTTATGCTTTCCATTGTCAATGCAATTTATAAACTTCAATAAAGAACTATTTCTTTCGGTCCATGTCCCTCATGCTAAAAGGTTCACTACACCACCAACCATAATCGTGTAATATTTTCTTCTGATCCTGTCGTTCAAATACTTCTAATATGTAAAGATAAAACCCAACTTATTGCTTTTAACAATATAAGCTGGATCGGTTAATTCTGGAGCTAGTATAATAAAGGCTAAATCCATATTTACTACAAAAGCGAATATTCCATACGCCATTGTAGTTGGTATTATAGAAACATCTGATGTATATCATTATTATCGGTGTTGAAACATTAATTTGTTATTTATAGAATTTATCGATAGAATTTATCTACCATACTAAAAATATTAAATTCATTCGTTAACACATATGTAGCTATTCTGAGTAAGAAAGATAACTTTAATTTATCGTAACGCTTGATGATTCTTAGTAAGACGTTTTTAATTTATAAATGACAAAGTAGCAATTTCATCGTTCAAACAAAAGTGAATAAAATATATAAATATGGGACCTTTGAAATAGAAAAGGGAAAAACTGCTGGAAAGTCAATTTTACTTTATATGCTAAATATAATTTTTAGGTCAAAATATGTTCAGATTTAGCATTATTTCAATTTTTTATTTTTTTCAGCCTTTTCCCCCTTTCCTATTGCAAAGGTTCCCATATCATCAGCGCTGCCGTTGTAGGACAACTGGAACAAAAACCATCTGCATTTATATATGGTGAAATAGTTACAATAATATATTGACTGATCTGAAAATTTTTTTTTGTAACTAGGGAGGAGACCTGAGGTGTAATTCAAAGATCCACTATCATCCGTTGTCATTACTTTCTAATTACTTATTTGGACAAAAATAAAGATAAAAATCAAAAAATCAAAACTGCCGTCCAACAGAAAATATAACCAATCAAAAGGGCGGAAATTTATTCGATCGCTGCGATCCAAAATGAAATAAAAATATTAAAAAAAAAAAAATACATACCACACTTCTTTCCGAAGAAGGGAGGTATGGCTAAAGCCGGGTTCGATCACGATATTTTGGCCATAATTACGGCATTAAGGTGATAGTCCCAGTGACAAATAATTTGTGACAAATAAGAAATAACATATCGAAAAAAATTCCGTCTATTTTTGTGATTCGCGTGATTGAACCCGGCTTTGCAGGGGCATCCTTAACCTAGGGAAGGGGTGTAGACCTTTATCCTAAACCGCAACTGTATATTTCACGTGATATATACTTTAAAAATATTTATTTATACATGGGGTTGGACGATAAGGTTCTACACCCCCTCTCTAGGTTAAAGACGCCCGCTTTGCAGCACATCAACAAATTCTCACCCCCATGTGACCAAAAATTATCTGAACTTTCCTAAAAATAAAGATAAGACCTGGTCTGATGCAAATATCTTATATTTTTTAAACTTATATATTATACGTATTTTTATCCGCTCTACAAGTTTACATATACAGATTTTGACTTTATATGACCATTTCTATATGATTGATTTAACAAAAATTGGCATTCTAAACCCTTTTTGAATTCTAAATAAACATGTAGAGCGTAAAAAATTAGATGAAAATGCTTAGTTCTGAGATTAGATAATGTCTATGGTAAGTTTTATTAAAAAAAAATTTTTTGTTAGAATTTGGATTACCAATTTTAGAAATGATCGGTAAATTTTGGTCACGTGGGGTGAAAATTTGTTGGTGTTACTGGTATAATTAATGATCCGCATTAGATTTGATCTTTGTTAAATAACAAAAATCATAAGATTAAATTGAAAATCTTTTAGAAAGGGAATATACATGTGAGGCTAAGCTATTAAAATCACCTTACGGGACCCCACCAACTAAATTTGAGATTTTTGATTCATATTATTATATGATAT